CTGACTCATACTGATAAAAATTACGTTTTTTTAAAACAAGCTACATCTATTTGTTCTTGGCATGAACAGACTGAATAAAGAAAACATGATCAGTGACAAAAACACTTTGTCTCTCTATTCTTACGTATCGACAGTTCAATAACAAAAAAAATATCTCTCAATCCTAAAATGAAGAATATGAAAGGACGAAAAATAAATTCACAGCAGAACTATGTTATGTAAAATGTATTTATCTTCTATCGCTACGAATTGACTATCTGGACAGAAAAGATAGGTTTCTCTTAACTAAGAAGTTTACGTCTTCTAGGATTATTAGTAGTGGTACTACAATACTCTTTTCTCTTCTAACCAGGAATCCTGGCGCAGCTGATAATAATTATGAGATTACTGGCAGTGTAACTAGTGTTACACTTTGATACTTTTTTGATAATGTTTATCAAACTCATGCATAGCAATCATTTCGGGTTCAGCAATGAAATGTTTATCAACTGGCTTATTGCTCATGCAAGGTACTCAAGAGATCGAAGCATAGCCATTGTCATTTCCAGTCGCGTTCAATTTCATATTAGTCTAAATATGTCTTTTTTTTTTAATATTTTGATCAAATGCATTCAAAGTATATAATTGTTCAATTTTACTACAATATTTTTCAGAACGAATGTGTGTACCTGTTATGGATGTAATCTAGTGCGATGAAGTTTATCTATAGTAGATTTTTTTCCAGAATCACAACTAGAATGAATTCAGCATACTGGAATTCAGAACGCTTTTTCGCATCAAATAACTCTTCAGTGAAATGTGAATTACAACAAATACATAGGACAAACAGCTTGAGTTCAATTCAAATGAATAGTTTTCGTAGTGGAATAACTCAGAATGAGAAAAGAAGAATGCTATCTCTCTTATTAAAGTGAATAGCAACTATGAGTGAATTTTCAAAAACAAAAAACAAGAATTTGGGTAAAACACTTTCAGTTCATAGACGCTCAAGAATTCAAATTTTTGAACTACAATGAGCTATTTTGGTTTGCAATACTTTTTGATCACTTTTCTACATACATGTTACAAAATTGCAAAGAAAAACGAATAGAAAACTACAAAGAAGTGTTATAGTACAAAAACTCAACAAAAACATGTATTTTTTGTGCGTTTTTTGAACTAACCGATAAAGGCGTACGAAGTTCGACTAAAAGTCGCTATTTTTGTTCGAAAAATCGATATGCCGATCTACTTGGAAAATACGATCATAGATTTTCAACCTGGGCTCATGCATCAAGTTAAGATAATAATGACTCGAGCATTTTGCTTTGAGTGAATATAGGTGGTTCAATTTTTAACCCGTCTCACTTCTCAATCACTTTTGGGTCATCTTTAACAGTGATACAATTCGGCGTTCGGACATACTCTTCAATAAACGTTTCAATCAGATTTACAATATGTTCACGGTGCTGATAGTTATGTACCTCATCAAATCCATTAAGAAAGAGAATCGTATGACCATGATCAATGAAATTGCGGAGGAAGCCTATGCTATCAGCATAATTATATTACGAAGTCAAGTATATTATCTTATGTAATCTTTTCAGATTCGAAGTCGGATGTAGTTCTAACCATGTAATGAATTCTTCAATTCAAGCTAGAATTGGTAGTCGAGTCGGACCCATATTGACTTTCTTCACAATGGTTTCTTCTTTTTCTTTCAAAAATGTCTGAGCAAACTTCATCGTTAGCCAACGTATTAGAGTCTTCTTTCCAGATCCTGACTGTATGTGCTCTAGCATATTTGACTGACTTACTTTACACTCTTTCGCAACTTGAGAGACTTGATTTCTGCATACTTGGTAAAAAGAGTCGGCGTTTTCACCGAGACCTCGCACTATTACCTTTGAATGAAAATTGACACACATTTCGAGATACATTGGAAGAGAACGAGCATGTTTTTTACGTAAATTATCTAACGTCATTTGAACACTTTTTGAATTTTTTCTTCTCTCGGACATGTCTTCACAAGCTTTTACTTGTTGGAATGCTGTCGTGACAACAAGACCTTCTTTTGGTGCACGGTTCACCAAAATGCATCGTATTTCGTCTTGGTATGGCGCTCATATGTTGCTTGTCATCTCATCTTCTGTTCTTTTGCTTCATGAATGAAAAGTTGTTCAGCATAAATGATTGTTCGATTTAATCGACGCAGCAATCGTATCCATTCATCGGATACGGTTTGATTATTGCTGCTTTGAGACAAATACTCAACTGCAAGAAGTATTTGTTGAAAATAACCATTGTTTTTTGGAAAGGTCTGAATCATTAAATTTGAGCAGCACTTTTTCTTTGAATGATTTCAGAGGATGCAATGTACAACATAAGCCAACTTAATTGATTATCGTATGAGATCGATGTTGGATATCATGGCATACGGCAACACAGGTATATTTTTCATTCTTCTAAGTCGACATTCATTCATCGCATTTTCTGCATCTATCTCTTATATTAAGGCTGAAAATAAAATAGAATTATTTTGTTTAGACTGATATTTGCCAAGCTTAGGCATATTTTTCTGTCTTTTAAGTGTCTATAAAAGACAACGAGAAATAATGATTCAAATTACCATCCTCGCGTATAGTGTCCGAAGTGAAGCTTCTGCACTTGTAGACATTGTGGTATCAATACGTGGATTGTTTTACTTGTGGATGGATGGCAGAATCCTTCACAAGCAGAAAATGGAATATACTGTATCTATCCGTTACTACCATCAATACCATTTTAGATATGCAATGCAGCCAAAGAAAACAATGCCTAACTTTTATGCACGACAAGGGAACACCTAATGCGAACTGATGACACTCACGCAGAGCAAAAAAGCAGTAAGTACGGAAGTCAGTCAGAAATTCTCAAACACTTTCCATTCTTTGTTCTGCCAATCTTGTCAATAGTTTGATAAAAAAAAGCAAATAATAAAGCTATCAATGTAATCTCTGCAGGATTAATACTTGAAATACCAGAGAACTCTCTCCATACTACATGAGAGCACGCTCAAAGTGTGTCCTACAGTCATAACTGTAGCGTTCTGTCACTGTAATGCAAGTGATGCTCTACATTACTCTTTAGGATGAGTCAAGAAGACGAATATTCTACAGCTTTACAGTCACCATCAATCTAGCATTGTCCAACTTAAAAAAACACACATACATTCCTATATTGACAACCGATACCCAAGTGAAACAAAACACAACACAAGAGAAAAAGTATCTAAATGTACAGGTGCTTCTCATAGGATAATAGCATTGTAACATAAAGATAACTCAATAACTTATACGATGTTGAAGAATCACAAGTGAGCGATAAAATATTCGCGTTCACGATAAGCGCACATAGTAAGAATCCTAATACATAGTAAAGATGCGAAGTTGAGGTGTTCATAAAAGCGCTCACCGAATCGAAACCAATACATCCGGTGTGTAGACAATCACCAGCAACTTAACAACAAGCTCGATTAAGGTACCTGCAGCGCTTATTCTTTGATTGAATAGTTTATTGGATCCATTGATTGATAGAAAGGTTCTAAGTTTAGAATATGCATTCATGAGAATAAACAGTTCCTTATTTTGCCGATTAATTGATGGATATCTTTGGCTATCTCCCATCGTCTCCGAATATCCGTAAATTTGAGGGAGTTCTTTCATTGAACCAATATCTCTGATCCTGCTGACTCGGTCATCTTCGATATCAACAGTAAACTTGCCTAATTCATACCCATTGAACTCAGCATCACTTCGTCGGTTGTAAACTCCCTGGTTTTGTTTTACCAGACCATCATTTCCATTACTTAAGTGCAAAGCATAACAAATTGAATCATATGCATAGAGATGGTTGCTATGAATCCAAGTTTACTTTCTTGCAATGATGGCGCGATCGACGTTGATACTGCAGCCAAGAGAATAGTTTTTATGAGAAGGTCATAGAAAATGCAGCAACCTCTTATTTTGTTCAGAATCTTGTGCTCTTTACAATGATATGTTAAACAGTAGTCTTTTGAGACAGGAAAATTTCTGTGTTCGTTTTTTTTGGAAATCTTGCTATCATAGTTCATCTATGAAATTTTGGTATAGAATGGGTTAGATAGAAAACTCATTTAGCTATTAAAATCACTATTTGAATTTGAAATAGGTGCTTAACATTATTAATTAAAAGTCAAATAGACGTTGCTGTCAAATTTTTCTCCACTACTATATAATCAGGAATATTTACCATCGTCAAGTATATTACACTTTAAGATATATAACTCACGAGAGAACCTCTTCAGATGTCAAATCGCTTTATCTGAATAAAGGTTGCCTTTACAAATAAGAAAATATTGAATACTCCCTATCTCTAGATAGGAGATACCGGAAATGCTACAACTTTCACAAGGAGTTAATTTCATGGAAAACTATTTTTATTATCTCATGAGAAAAGGCGCCGAAAATCAAAGCACTCTAAACTGTTTGCTTACTCACTAGCATTCATCGAGTAAACATAGTCTCGCTTCAAAAATGAATTGATAAGATGCTATTGTATATTTAGAAAAAGAAAAAAAATATTAACTTTATATATTAATGCGTTATTGTATTATATTGCTGTCTGAGCAACATAGTTAATTTCTTTCGTTAATATAAACAGAAGACAAAAAAAAGAACCAAAAGAGAAGAAAACACTGTTTTACATGACAAACACTATATACATAAAAACTCAACAAAAGAAATCGCAAACAAGAATTTAAGCATTTTTATATTTCTCTTCTTGCTATTTTTTTTTTGTTTTGTTGCTTTCTTTTCATACATATATATATATATTATTGCAGAAATAAATAAAATACGAGATAGGAAATAAATAAAAAAACATATTTGTTTTGTTTTGTTTTTTTTTCATTTAAATAGAGATCCACAGACAAGAACAAAAAAAATCATCATCTTATCTGACCGAACTGGTTACTACATCATATTATTTGTTTTTTTTTCTGTCTAATGTCGTCGATTTGACGATGAATGAGATGTTGAATAACCATAGGGTGGTGTTGAATTACCAGTATACGGTATTGGATTTGTATCATTCGGTTGATAACACATTTGTTGTCCTGATGCATACATAGGAGATGATGATGTTGGATAGTAGGGCATATAATTCATTGACATCAGAGATGGATAATAATATGGTTGCATATCCATTGTTGGTGCAGTTGGATAAGGATATGGATATGATGTTTGTCCATAATTATATGTCATATTAGTTGAACTATTAAAGTTATTTATTGTTATTGATTGCTGTTGTTGTTGCTGTTTAGCAACATTACTTCTTGTTGAATAATTAAAATGATCTGTTTGTGAAACATTCATTGATGTTAAACCAGATGGTTGATCATTGATTGCTTCAACTTCTTTAGTTCTTGCCATTGTAGCTTTTAATTCTGATTCAATGGGATTTAATTTTGTTTCTTCATCGATACTATTTATCGATGATGAAGATTTCATTAATGAATTATCTGATACAGATGAAGGTGTTGTTAAACTTGTTTCACGACTTAATACTATTGATTGATCATTTTTCTAAATTANTAGAAATGGATATTTTCCATTGGAAATGGTTAATTTTCAAAGAGAAGTGCTTCATCCATATCTCCATTGATAAGGAGAAGTCTAAAAGACTTAGAGAGAAGTCGATCAGTTGATCTTCTTTCTTTCCATTTCTCCTTGTTATCCATGATTTTATGTGGGGTGAAGCATTTCTCCATAAACAGGAACAATTTCCCCAACGACTTCGTGCTATGGTCCACTGCTGTTTTTTATAGGATAGTTCCTGAATGCAATATACAGCTATTTATTATTCATGCAAGACAAGCATAAAATCTGAAATGATAAAGGAATAGTGTTTCAAAAAAAGCTGATTTATTTTAGCCTTAGTAAATATACTGAGTTTAGGATGTCCTTTTACCAACATGTAACAGGATCTTCGTGTCGGGTATTCTATTTAGATTGTATCAGTACATGGATATTGCCGAGATACTCGGTGATGTGCTCTTCCAGATTCTATAGTAGTAATTGGAAAGATTTTCAACAAATTAATCGATTGAACATTTAGAAGCATTCTGAAGTGAAGAGATAACATGTCAAAAATTCCTATTACAAATTGATAATAAGTTACCTCTCCCTACACATTGAATTCAATGTGTTTACTAAAGAGTGGTCTAAATAATATTCATAGTTTCAATCATTTTACTAGTATCCCATTATAACAGTATAGACTAACATGGAATGGCAATTATTTGGAACAAGTGGTACTATCATATATGCAACATCAGAAGGTTGAACTACGTTTTATATAGATTTTGATCACATAGTACAAATTATATTGAATAGAATTCACAAGTTCTCGAACATTTTTCTTCTTTTTGAGGAAAATATAAGAAGAATCTAAACTCAGAGAATAAAATCGTTTTAATGACTTAATACATAGTGACATCTGACTAAAGATCCTGCATTGAACTGAATCTCTTTTTCTATCTAATTATATTTGTTCGACTAAACTGATCATTCCAATATAGTATAAGAATCTATTGGAAAAATCAGTTGGTGATCATTACTCACATGCGTATGAACGGTAAAGTCCAACTCACAAATCTGAATCACTCTTGTAATGAGTCATATTCATCTAGGAAGAACAGTTTCGAAATGTAATGAAAATAAAAAGCAACAGTATTATTTTGCTGAAAAGTTGACATTTTATTCAAATGGAAGAATATTGGTTAGTTACTTTTTTTCAATCTTTTCTAATTCATTGAGAGTTAATTCTTCGCAGTGTAATCATCGACTAAACGATCGTAATGATATATCGATTGAAATTCAATTATCCGATCTATTCTCTTCATCAGTCTCAATCTAATTTGTCTATATTCATCGTTATAAGGCCGAGATATATTTTGATATTCATATTAAATATTTGTAACCCAAGTTGACAACTACAGTGTTCGTATACGCCTTTGAATAATCGTATACGGTCGTTTACGACTGTGATTGTGTCACCTAGGAAGCGATTTATTGCTTCCGTATGTGGTTAGGCCAACATTTTTTTGCATTGACATGATTTCATCCAATGAAGAGATATATAATACGCTTGATATTCATACAATTGTCGAGATTAACTTCGTCCGCCAAACTCTGAACATAATGTTTTTCTGACGGAAGCATTTAGCTTCATTGTGAATAATTACAAAACGTGCATTTTGTAACATTCAATATTAATATCTTCGAATTTATTTTGAGCGATTCTATTTATCTCAATGGAATGGTCGATATCACTTATCTAAATCGTTATTCTGTTGCAGATATGATCACTTGTTTCGAACATCTTTCTAATGAGCTATTGCTTGATATATTCAATTATATAGATCCTCGACATTTATATTATACTTTTTGGAATATTAATTCACGTTTAAATGATCTTATTCTCTCAGTTAACAATCTTCAACTTATCATTGACGAAGAAGAAAACAATGAATTAATCACTAAACTAGCTCCTCATATTGGTCTTTTACAAGTTAACACATGGGATGATATTGATTTACAGGGATTTTATAATTTATATTCATTAAAATTAGCTCGACCGTCGTCAATGCAATTAAAACAAATTCGAGCTGATACCATACCAAATTTGATCTATCTTTCGCTATATTCAAATGTGAATTTCTTTCCACCTAAACAACTTATTAATGATGTATTTTCAAATAGATTTTCTTATATTCGTTGGGCTCGATTAGGTTATGTTGATGCTTTCGATCCTTTTCATTTTTTTCAATCATTGTCTCTTCATTATCTTCATATTGGTTGTTACCATACAACTATGATTCCATTTGTTCTAGCATCATGTCCAAATCTTAAGCGACTTCATGTCGATTTTTTTCGGCATGATGAAAAAATCATGGATTCACCAACAATGATTTATACGCATCCTCTTCAACAATTAATTCTACGAGATTATTGTGGTTTAGTGTCGATTGAAGATATTAAAACTTTAATTACTTGTATTCCAAATACAAGCAAGATAGAATTGAAATTTCATTGTAATGTTTCATTTATTTCTCTAGTTCAATATCTTTCAAATAGTCTTAGTCATTTATGTCGATTCGATTGTTATATAACAGAATCTCCAATCGATTCTGCAACAAGTTTGACAACTATTCAACAAGTTCATCCATGTTTCAGTCGTATAACATGTCCAATACAAAAATCAACCTTTCGAGTATTTGACACACAATAATAAGCTGAATATTTTATTTTAATATTCAAGAAATTGTCATAATAGTATATCATATTTATTGCTAATCGAGAAAACCTCTCTTTTACCTAATGATAGATTTATTTATCCTCGAAATGAGTCGCATTTAGGTTCAATATACTATTTGTTTCTGTTTATTGAATATGTACTTTGTCTTCCTTCGATGTGTTTATCCTGCCTAAAATATCTATCGTATTGAATTCGAATTGTTCACTAATACTTCGTGAAAAAGTCACTAATTTAAAGTATAAAATGAACAAAAAATCTTGAAAGAAAAGGAAATCTATTTAAAATTGGTTTTTATAATTTAATTAAATACTTCGACTAATAAGTGTTTAATAAATTGTTTTCAATCGTCTGCTCAATAATAATTATTTTTTAATTTTTATTTGTAAACAGAAAATAAACTATGTGATTTTTTATGGATGAATTCCTTTCAATATTACTCATCAATAATTAAATTGAAAATACCTGGATCATTGGATCTTGGTTCTCAATAAAGAAGACCGACAGAACCACAGCGATATCTTGAATAACATAGTCGATTTGTTTGATAACATGATTGATTTGAGAAGCAAGACAGTTGTGAAACATGATCTAAAAAGAGTGTTGAAGTATAATAGAGTAGAATTTTAGATCTTCCTCTCCATAGCGTGCATTTTTTCGCATGGCAGGTGGACATAAAAACTTTTTCTTTGCTCAGAAATGATTGGATATGATCAAGAAAAACATTTTTTCGAAAAAAAAACAGTTTCCAACAAAAAATGTCTCAGGATGACTCTTGCCTTCATTTTGATCGAGAAAATATTTTCTTTAAAAACGTTCGATGTAGTTTAATGCTCTAATTCCGAATATACTATTATTGTTGACTCAATAGATTTTCTAAGGCAAAAACGACTGAAAAATCTAGGTTTTTTGAAAATCCACTGTGCAGTTCAGGAACGTTTGCGTTAACAGGAATTAGAGACGATAGATAGAAGAACACTTTGGTGAAATTTGGAAAAGTTTGGAATTTGAATATGGACGGATGGCTTATTTAACGGGGCTAGCCGTTCGAGTGACAATAGGGAAAAAAATATTACTTTTTTTCTCAAAAGTTAAACTACAAGTTAAAAAAATATTTTCTACTATTGTGTAAGTTATTTATACCATTAGATAGACTATATTTCGAAGTATATTTTCATATATTTAAATCTTGAAAAGTGTGTAATTTTCATTTTTAGTCAAATATCCGTCTAGACATCCACTGTGTCCCACCAAAACTGTAACAGACATAGATAAACGATCACAAACCGTATATCAGAAATATCTCCCTCGAATATTTGACAGACTTCCTTCTTTTATTTCTATAGGACTAAGTGAAAGGACGACGAAATGATGTAATTCAAAATAGATAATATAAAATAATCTCCTGTGATTAACAACAACAGCTACATTGTGTTTCACATTTTAACCACAAAGGGGCTGCGCTAACAGGTGTTTACATAAGTAGATATTGTTTGAGTTTTTATTTGTAAAAAAATTTCCTTCACAATATTTTATAGCTCTACCTTCATCTGAAACTTCAACCATTATCAGATACATATTCTTTTTATAACAACAATGAGCACTGGTATCAACACGATTATAGACGTAATCTATTAGAAAAAAAGAAAATCAAATATAAATTTTTCTTTTACAAGTACCGATTAGTTATATTGTTCGTCAATTATTCAAGTGAGAATTTTACTTCTTCAGATTAAATTATTCTACTAAAAAAACGAAGAGAATGTAATGTTATTTTTACTTTATCAATGTGCATTAAATACTATAAACATTTCAGAGAAAGAGAAAAAAATAAAAATATGTTATATTATATATATCAAACTACATGTGACTTTTTTCACATAAAAAAATGTATGAAATAATATGTGAATAACATGCTCGAATAGAAATAAGTCATAAGATTCAAAAACAAAACACATTATACTATTATTATTCAACACATACGTGTATTTTATTATATTGAAGCATGCATGCAATTTATTCCCTAGATTGTCTATTATTTGCGCACTATGTCAGTGAAATTTAAAATAAAATCTAATGAATGACAAAAAACAATGGGCAATCTATTTTGTATAATTCTGATTTAGACAAAACTTCATTTAAGATATAATTACAATGATGAATTCCAGTTTCTTCCACATGTCACGATGTTAAACATGTGATGATGTAGTAGTTAACCTTCGCACTTACAGAACAAAAAGAAAAAGAGAAAGAAAAGAATGCGCACGAAGTAGTCAATTTCGCCTAGTATTTCTTTTTCTATCATACAATAAGCAGAAGATATGAAAGAAAAAACGAAGAAAGAAAAAGAAATCTTATATAATGTGTACGATGCGTATGTTTGTTGGTTGCAAAACATTATTCACAATCTATTTATTTCTAACCATCGTTACACAACAAGAAAATATGACGATAGCAGCAGCAGCAAGTAAGGCTGGTTTGGAATTGGCCACTTTTGGTGCTGGTTGTTTTTGGGGCACAGAGAAATTTTTTAGCAAGCAATTTGGATCTAATTTAAAATCATTTGCTGTTGGTTACATGGGTGGTCCTTCGAAAGCTACTTATAAAGATGTTTGTACTGGTACGACCAATCATGCTGAAGTTCTACAAGTATCTTACGAACCCACCCAATTGGCATATAGTGATTTAGTTCATTTTTTCTTTCGTATGCATGATCCTACTACTTTGAATCGACAAGGAAATGATCGAGGTACCCAATATCGCTCAGTTATCTTCACTCATACTAAAGAACAACAGAAAATTGCAGAACAAGTACGTGATGAAGTACAAGCTAGTGGTAAAATCAAAGGACAAATTGTTACACAAATAGAACCAGTCGGTGATCTACAATTCTTTATGGCTGAACCCTATCATCAACGATATCTAGAAAATCAACCTGATGGTTACTGCAATCATAAACTGTATTATTAACATTATAGTTATATACATAAATTGTGTATCTTTAAGTATATGATAGTTTCATATGAAATAATAATCACTTTACAATAGATGTATTTTTAAGTTAATCATCTCTTGTAAAATTCTATTTTCGTCAAAAATATTAAAATTGAGATAAATACTTGGAAAGATAGCCCAAGGTCTGATCTCTTATAGATGATATGAATTTTTTTATTTGGCATCTTATTTTTTCTATAAAATTTCGTCATTTTCTGTTTGAAAAATATGTGTTTTTTTTCGAATAAAGCGGAAAGTCTTTTTTCGCTTTTTCTCTGTTTATGTTTTTTGATAGTGTATTGAAAAGCTCTGGTAGAAGCTTCATTGTAGCTCATGGCTTATTTTTTTTCGCTTATAAGTTCCATGTCAGAATGCAAGGCATGATAGAGACCGTTTTTTTTGAATTACGCTTTGCTGGTATTATATGCAAGATAACTTTTATAATTAGAGCTCTATTTTTTGAGTCTTTGAGCACATTAAACTTTTCATCTTTGTTCTCTCCTTAAAAATTGAGAATCTATAAAGAGAATTTCGTCATACCCAGTAACCTGATATATTCTTTCAAAAAGAAATTAAGTCTATAAAATGAAGGCCCACGGGGAATTTTGAGTTGCTTGACGCTTGTTAATTCGATAATTCCCGAAAACATTCTGGTATCGGATTGAAAGTTTTATTATAGCTTCTCTAATATAGCCCCAATACATTTGAAAATTTCATGTGATTTGAATATTCCCCGACTAAGATCGATGTTTGTAGTAGGAGAAGCTTAAGGATCACACGAATCATTATTGATGTTCTGTCAGATCTTCAAAAAATAATGACAATGAGTTTAGTAAAATGTGCAAATCACAAAACATAATAATGTTTTTGACTATTAATAAACAAGTTTCTTGTCTTTTCTCCATTCTTTACAAGAAGATCTATTATATTCGCAAATAATATATGAAAATAAATTATGATCAAAATTTTGTAGTGCAACAGTAGATATTTTGTCTTTTTTCACTAAACATGTACTTTGGAAATTTTTTGTAGAACAAAATTTAATAAATTATTCCATTCATTTTTTAGATTTAAAGACTAACTTAAAATCAATATATATTTTTCTTGTTCATTTTCACTCATAGACAATTCAACATTCTAAATCTCAATGTTTAATACATGGAAAACCACATGAATAGTGTATAATAATCCAATTCTTGCTCATATTCGATTCATTATCGACTTTTAATGCTTGAATCTATTTCGTCTATAGATCTTCGATAAATTTAAACGGCTCGATGAAATTATTTTATAATAGTAGATGTTGAAGATATGATACCATTTACTGAACTGATTGTACTATTCAAATCGATATACATGACAATAGAAAAATGATAACTTAATGCATCATGTAACATTAAAAATTTCAACATGATTAAAACGTTTTCTCCAATACATAGAAGATCCTATGCAACTAAAATTCAATAAAACATCGTTTCTCTTCCATTCAAAGTACTATGCGAAATAAATCAATAAAGATCGAATACTTAGAACCGAACGTTATGAGATGATTACTTAATTTATCCCATTCAGTACAGAATTCTTTTTTTTTTTTGAGAAAGATAGAAGCTTACAAAATTTCAAATCAATGTTTATTTGTTAATGGACACCAAAAATTAACAGTAAATGTAGCTGACCTTGACCGTCCAAATATCATTAACATAAATAACGAAGCATTTCATTTCATATAATAATAAATCTGTAATATTTATGAAAGTTATCTCAGAAAAAAAATTTTGATCATTCGTACTTAAAATATTAATCATATCAAATTTATCTCTTGTTTGTCATTTCAAATCTTTTACATGAAGCATACTCAAGAAAATTTATTTCCAATTGTCTATTGCTACTGTGAAATCTATGCGATATGAATCATTAAAAGAAAAAATGATAAAAATATAATTATATTCAAGTTTGAACTCATTCAAATGCAACATCACTCAGATTATTTAAAAGTTTTATGTTCGAACTGTTCACACTTTAAAAATGAACTAAGTTGGGTGTGTGTGAGTTTGTGAATGTGTAGAGGATTGTAGGTGTATATTATTCTCTTACCGGTAATCAAATCCTCTATTAAAAACCATCATGACCTTGTTTTGGTTTCATATTTCATCAATAACATCTGTCATCTATCGTAGGATTCGAAAGTAAGACTGTCAATAGTTTGTTCTTACTATATGTATTCGATTAATATGAACCAAATATATGTTGAATAGAACTGAAGAATCTCTACCATATAACATTTGAAAAGAAAATTACAATGGTTCATTCAGCAAGTGTTGACAAGTGCTTGACAGAATATATGTTTATTTCGAATATAGATTGCACTTCTTGAATGAGTAATTATGATTTTTATTTCATGTACCATAATTTTTTTGATGATGATATGAGTAGAATATTGAAAACTTGTATATTTTTTTTTTCAACAAAAGTAAATACTCTTACTAAAGATGTGATTTTTACCATTGTGGTTTCTTTCTTTCACTTATCTACGATTACAGCTGTCGAGTGCAAACAGAAATATTTGTCAATTGAAAGAAATAATGGCTCAACACAAAAACTCTCCCACAAGATATTATTGATGTTCTTGAGCATTTCTGGAACACGCTGCTTCATGCACGAGACTTTTATATTACGGTAGTAAAATTAATCTCAAGACAAGATACAACTGAATCATTCAAGACTATTATTCTTTGTTGTTGCAGCAATAAACTTTTATATCTGAATATAAAATAATAGATGATAACTTGCAAGACTACATTACATTTTGAAGAGTAGATGTGTGGGTAGGCATGAGTATTGATGTGACTGTGAGCGTTTAGATGAAGAGAAGACACTGATACATACCCACATTCTTAGTTAACGAAAGACAATAGTTTCATATCTTTGATTAACTCACGAATATTATTTTTTCGTCTGAGTATTCTTGTCAGAGATGTCCATTGTGGCTGAGAATGTGCTGCTAACACGATAATTTCTTGAAAATCTTCTTCGTCACTTTGTTAAATTATCACAATTGAATTGAATCCATCAAATTCACCACGATTGTGACTGTTGGACTGACAAACACTCAAATTGAATGCAAATTCATGCAATTTTACAATCTCCTTAAAAGAAGAAACTGTCGCTGTAGTACCAGTGACACCGGCAAGGTGGCGGTGCGACAATAGCGCCAGCATAGGCATCTCTGCTTCTTTTAGAAAAAAATAATTAACATGAATATTTTTGTATTGTTTCGATGATAATAGAACATTTCAAATTGTTTTACTTATTAAATAAAATATGATGTCTTGAAGTCTACAATTCGAAATCAAAACAATTTTTTGAATTACCCTTAAAAAACAATCTTATAATCAGTTACAGAGATTCATTCTGAAGGCATCAATAGTAGTAGTTGCTATCATAAATATTAAATATTTTAATTTTAAATTATGAAATCTTTATCCATCAATAAAAATATCAATTCTATAATTCAATAACAATTTAATAGAGGCATCACAATTTTTTAGAAAAAAAATTCTTTAGAAAATAATATAAATTTATTGCACAAAATTCGAAAAAAAGCGTTGAAAGATATTCTTATCATTGATATATTAATCTAAGTACTAGTTGTTCGGATTTCTCTTACATTGAATATTTTTCAAATACTTAATGATGATACGTGATTTATCTGTTGAAATGAATTTTATCTATAGACAATTAAGTATAAGTAAAAGCTGTACTAATCTAGTTTTTAGGTTGAATAATATCATGAATTCATCTGTATTTCATCAAAACACATCATAAAGATATGCATTGCGACTATAAAATATTCTAACAAAATATCATCACATACGAATGACTATAAGTAGCTTTTTATATTTGATTGTGGTTTTGAAGGTCTCCAACAAATATTGACTATAAGAAATCAACCTACACATTATATTCTTGTAAAAAAAAGAATGCTCTTGAAAAGTACTGTAACTCAGTCGTAAAAAATCATGCTTCGTCAAGATTAATAGAAAATAGTGATCAATATCTACCTTTTTTACATTGTATATAAATTATTTCTGTGCATCTAAGAGAAAGATTAATACAGATAATTATCAACAGATTACGGCTTTTCATGACAAGTTTATAAGCCTGATGAAAGTATAGTTGACATCTCATTCAAGTTTTGTAATATTGTATTTTTGTTGACGACTACTTACAAGACATTACAGGTAAGTAATAATAACTACTTGCAACAGAGCCTTACCCATATGATCTCATCGATTTGACTGACATATTCACAATAGATAGATTTTGCAAAACTAGAAACAAAATAAGAATTTAACCCCAAAGGAAATCATTCATTCTGGAAATATAGACATTGCAATTATAGGTATCTTACTAAAATTCAAATACTTTGCAAAGGACTACTTTTCAGTAAAGTTTCATTGTCTAAAGCGGAAAAACGTTTTATTCCGGAGATTATTTTTTTTAACGATAAATACTATTGTTCATGAGCTATTTTTTCCATAATATTTAAAGTGTCGCGTTGTCTGATATCTTTTTTTATTGTCATTATATGCCATTTCTAGAATTCATGAGTAGGCTGAAAAGGTAATTTCTCTGAATGAGCGCAATGGATTACACTTAGAGTAGTTTCATCTGCGAGAGCATATGATAATGAAGCGAGTTCTTCCTTTGAAAATATGCTGGAATAGTAATTTCGCACATCACATTTGTTGAGCAGGGGAAAAAAGATCGACGATATTGGCACTGGGCTCAGGCTGGAAAAGTATTTGGATCTTGGACGCACAAGTACAACTGTCGTATCCGATGGCTGGATGCTCTCGAATCTGGATAATTGTTTTCGATAATCGCAAAGCCGACCACTGAATCTGAAGATCGTATTCCTGCGTCATACATCTGGCCATTTTTCCATGTATTCCGGCCGAAATCGACGAGTATGCTTTCGTCTTGGGCAATTCTAACTACAATCCTATTTAGATGAAAGCTCAAGTTGAGACATCGCTAAATCCCCAATGCTATCTCATTTAAATATGCCTGTTAAAATGACAAACGATACGCTTTTTAAATCTTCTTTGATGATATTCAATCCATCTAGTTTTTTCACATCCCAGCATGTCATAATAAGAGTAGCTAAAATGTCTAGCGTAAGATTTCTGCCAGAGATTATTCTCATTATGATGTTTATGTGTGGGAAGTTTCAAGCCAAAATTCAAAATCCAATTTTTCTGGCACCCACGAGAAGAACCACAGCAATGTTCTTTAAAAGATTTCGAAAAAGTTTCTAATACCATAGAAACTAATTATGAATATGAACTCTTTTAACGATTTTCATACAGTTTTAGGGCTTGATGATGCACATTTTACTGACACAAAATTAAATTTTCTTACAAGAGAGTTTTCTTGTAAAAATGAGATTAATTGAATAATTATCAAATAACATTTGAAAAAATGTCTCTGTAGCCTAGTTTCAAATGAATATCCAGATGAACTGAAACTTTGAACTTAGAGGTTTCTCAATAGAGGCTTTCATATGAGATACAATAAAGAATGATTCGTTTGAGGTTAAACTCTTATTTTGTTACTAGTTATGCTAGATCTATCTACCGTAAATATATCAGCCAAATCGATGAGATCGAATGGACGAAGTTCTATTGACATTGGTCGTGGCTTATGCGTCACACGTACCAGCACTTTTTATCTTCTCGTAATTGTTCTAGATTAGCCAAGCTGAGTTGTTCAACTTGCAAAGCATTACACAACAGTAAGATATAACATTTCTCTTTTCCATAATTTTTGGATATTTAAATGACTTTTAGACGGCCATGCAACTTTTGGGGGGCATTACTAGTGAGTAATTATATGAATTCAATCTACTACAAAAGTTTTCGTTTAGTTCTACTTGTTTTATTCTGTCCATGCTTTTGTCTGACATCACTTTACCATTGTAATTTTGATGCACAAACATCGGACGATTGTTTATTCCAGAAAACATTGGATGCACCAACTCTAATTCGAGCAACTGCTCAACTTCAAGACGAAACGTCTATCCAGACATTACCTGATAGCATATCTATTCGTAAGTGTTTTTTAACATTTGACGTTTGTGTCATAAATCGGAGTCTAACTATTGAGCTTTTTAGTCGAAAAATACCTATATAAGATATACTTCAACTATATACTAATTGAACTGGTATTCTTTAGGCACATATGGATTTGTTAAAACACCTAATGTTGGTGCATTCGATCATACTTATGCAGCGTTAGTGAAGAACGGAGACAATAGTATTCAATGTCTCGATTTTTATTATTACATCACTGACAGTTCATACAATGCTAGAATTACTGTTGAATGGGAGAAAGATTCGACGAGACAACCAATTACAGAGTTGAAAGCAACACTTAATAACAAATGGCAACATTGTCGATATTCATATAATCGACCATCATCAAGTAGCTATCATGTAAGTAAAACATTTGATGATATCTGCCAATGAAAACTTTTTATACGTATAAATTGCTGCTATATTTAATGCCTAAAAAAAACGTTTCGACGAAACAGTTTTCATTCAACAATGGTCTACAAAGACTTAATGCATATTTTACGAGTCGATAGAAGTCAAAAAAAAGTTTTCTCAAATGCTTTGCTAAAAAACCCTTATATTTTGATATGATTTTATTCCACGAACTTCGGAATTTTTTCTCTTCAGATTTTATTTAAACTCCAGCGCGACGGCGGAGAAGCGAATTTTTACTATGCTTTCACCGAAATCAACATTTTTGATGGACCTTGCGGTATATCACTACATCCAAGCTCCATTGTAATCATTGATTTCGATTCTGTTTTGCATATATTTAGCAGCTGCAGGTACCGAAACATTTCCGGAAGGATACGTAGCAGACGAAACAGGGGCCAGCAGCGCAACAGCTTCAACGAGTACTACCCGGGTAAGA